AAATGTTTCAAGCTTTTATTTTAATTTTTAGCTGATCGAGATACTTGTAATACTTTAAAAGAATAAACCCCCAAGAAATTGGATAATTTTAGAACACTGAGACTCGAAAAACTCTTAAATTTCTTCGACAGTTTCAACTCTGCGGGCAAAATGGAGTTGGGGAAGAGGGCTGTTCAGAGTAATGAGTATGTTGAAGTTAGTCTTGTTAATGCTCTAGTAGCACATATATATTTCGAAATGAATGTTCCTTTGCTGGTCGAGCTCTAGCTTCATGCTGTTTAAATACTCTCTCCCTGATTGGAGCGGTAAAAAGGTAAAGTTTATTGACGCACTGCTGCCATGTCCTTCAGCCACATATTAATGGACTAAAAGAAAATAATGGCAGTTGGGGGAATTCGAAGTCCACGTTTAATAATAATCAGCTAAGGCAAAAAAACTAAAATAATAAAAAGTGCGAAAAGTCTGTCTTCTTTAGGAAGGGTGGTAATTGGGTTTTCAACTTCGAAATTGTTTTCCATCTTTCAGAAATCTTAACGCCCGATCCTCGGCTTTCCTAAATAACTTAACTGCCCCGGAATATTCTAGACTGCTAGCACTACTGTACCATTTGCAGCTAGAAGAAATTGAAGTGACTGTCGCTGATAATGTGCAACCAGTGCAACGAAGTAACTTCGCTGCAAGCTGGGAACAGATGGCTAGCAAAGTCCAGGTGGACGAAACATACGCTTTATCAGCAGTTCACTCCTTGCAAGGTGAGTTTTGTACTTTGAGTGGATTGTTTTGCCTGTTATGTAGCGTTACAAGTCAAAATTTCATATCGCACATTTTGTGATGAGCCGACTGATAGCTTTTTGACACAGCGACCACTCACCGGTTCATGGCAAGCAGCATCAGAGCAAGAACTTTGCAGCATATGAATAAATCGCATTTGATCTAATCTTGAAATATTTCTGCATTATTCATATCAATCGGGAATGCATATATCAAACCAGAACGATAGCTAAATGAATCGGCAGATGCCGGCGAGAGGGCATCCTTTTGCAAACCGGAATCCTGTCCATTACAGTGAGATAGTCTGTTCGGACGGTATTATCGCCTCGAACATTATAGTTGAGATGCGAATCAGTGAGCCGAGACATTTGTTGATTTCCCCGATCTGCTAATTTTGAAATGTCCGGTGAAAGCTCAGCACTTGTCAACAGTGCGCGGTGCCCTTCCAAATATCCTTTCAACTTGTATATCGACGTGCAATTCTTCCGAATCTGTGGTCAGGTAATTTAAGTAGGAAGAGTTGGGAACCATCAATGTAGCGCCGCAACCCGCTGCTACATTTGTAAGTGCATACCGAAAGATCTCTTCCACCAGTGGCGATATTGTGCGAACACTTCAATTACTTGGCACTTTCCCATCCTCGAGAAACCAGTTTGCTTTCGTAAAACAGGCCGGGAGACACATAAGCTACTGAATTTTTTCTTTTACTTTTTATTATTTCATTTTATCTCTCATGGCGCATCTCATAGCCTACTTTCTGTGGTTTTTGCATAATCTCATGAACGCCCAAGCTTAGTCGGATAAAATATAACCGAGTGTCTTCTCATGCGCTGCCGCATTTCGTTATTGCCCATTTTGTTGCTATTCCCATACAACAAGGCTCCTGCTTTGGCAGTTTGAGGGGAGAAATTTCGGTATAATGTGACATTTTTGTCATTTTCTTCCTCTTTCCATCCATTTTTTTTTTTTTATCACACGTTAGGCTGTAATATGCTGTACATTTTGTGATCACCGGCACCCCAGTGCTTTGTCAGACAGCTGTAATTTTTGACTTAATCTTTTATCTTACCCAATCTAATTTGCTTTTTTTGCAGCTGCTGTTCGCGAAATGATCGATAACTTCGGAATGGCACCGTGTGAACGCACCGATCGAGTTCCGGAAGGTAAAAGTGCACATACACTCCTTCTGTCTGGCATCTATCGTGGTGGTTATGAGTTTTTGGCCAAAATTCGATTTGTACTCGATCCTGTCGATAAAACGGTTACAATGAATCTTTTGCTTAGGTAAGACTTTATTCGAGTCGTTTTCAGCTCACAAAATGAAGGTAAATTCTGTGACAGATGTGTCACATTCCTGATAAAAGCCGCTGCTTAATCGTTTCTGTCTTCGCTAACACTGCAGCTTTTAGCTTGCTTTGTTTATGTGACACTGTAAGGCATGTGTATCCCTAGCACCCTTCGTAATGTTTGCATTAATGTTGCTTGAAAGACTGGTAACTGCTTGGCTTGAATTCATCAACTGATAGAGGGCATGAAATCAGTTTGAACAGTAAAGTGCTTAGTCAGTGCTTACAAGTTTAGGCCCATGCTTTGAGATCCCAAAAGGAGCTAGTATCGTTGTTGGTTAATGTCACTGTGTGTGTGTTTGCCTGATTTTGGTTTTTGAACCATCATATTCCCTTTTTTTTGCGACATATTCTGAATTTGAAGAGATGCTGCAAACGAGGAGCTGAGCAGCTGAAAAATTTGGTTCTTTAAAAAATGCGCACCAAACTTGGCTTGCTTCGGTTTAAAATGAATGCGTTCGTAACCTATACCATATTCATTCTCCCTTCATACTATGTGGAGGAGATGCCCGCAGTCATTGGTTGCTTGGTCCATCTCCGTGCTGTATAATTTTTACTGAAGAAATCCTTGAACTCCGTGCTTCATTTCAGTAATTTATTTTACCACAAAATTAGGGCAGCTTTCACCTCAGCTTCCTTACCGCGCCTACACGCTGCATCCGGAAATGCAGTAGAATTCTAAGAAGGCGCCCAGACAGTCGATCTGAGATCTCGTGTTTATGGTGACATTGTTATGCTCCGACACTTAGACTCAGTTGTACCCATCTCTTTCGATCCGCAGTTGCACGACAGCTCTGCATCTTCTATGTTATCAAAAGTCATAGCTCCCTTCCTTATTTCGCTCTTAGTGGGAGGTGAAGACACTCAGAATGCAGCCCTAGTGATAGCAAATGCCAACGGTAGTCAACCGCTGGCAAGGCTGTCGATGGCCCCTTCTTCTGAAGGTTGCATACCAACAAGCTAATAACGGATTTGACTACCTGGCATATGCCAGTAGTAATTTACCAACGAAATGAACTGTAACGGAATTAGCTGTCCGACCGGCAGAGTCAAACCTTCGCTTCACTGTGCGACAACAGTGCTACCCTACCGCGCCATGCCTGCCGGCCTTTTATATTATAATTGCATAAAAAAACGCATTTCAATAATTTTGCTACATCTGAACGCATTTGTTCGTGTATGCCAGTCTTGTGAAGTGTAACGTGGGGATGTACAGTTTTGTATGCAAGCCAGCCGTGAGACTCACAGCTACTGAGACATTTTTTCTTTTTTATTTTTTCTGGTTTCCCTGCTCTGCAACACCATAATAATGTTTTCTTCAATCGGAAGTTTATATTGCCCGTTCACTCACCGAAGTTCAACACATTCCCACGATTTTCAGACCACTTTAGGATGAAATTTTGTTGCGAAAAACCGTTGCTTGTCCATTAGGTTGCAGCCTCCAGGTCAATCCTGGAGGTAGAGGTGTTGGGATGTAGAAGTAAAACAAGAGTAGTGTAGGTCGGGAGTAAGAACGAGCTAAGACGTTTCGGTCCATTAAATCATGGTGAGAATCTCTGAAATCAGCACGCACTTCTTTTCCAGTTTTGAACTCACTTAAAAAATCGTCCTGATTTGGTAAGTGAAGGTGCAAAAAGCAGTGGTCTGCTGTTTTTCAGTAATCTTTTCTGGCCTTCAGAACTTTGAAAAGGTCTTTGGGTGCAGTTGCTCGAAATACAAAGTCTAATCTGTAAGTGGCTTTCTGAGTACAGTCAGCCAGGAAATGCCCGGTGCACAACGGGGAAGAATTTACCACAGTTCGAAATCAATTTGACTGCGAGAAAAGAAAAACTACTGCTTTTGAAAATTAGCATGTTGTTTAGCATATCACGCTTTGGAAAACTCGAAGAGCAAAATACGTAATATTATGCACATAGTACTGAAGACGAG